GCAGCCAAGAGCGGCCAGATGCAGCCAAGAGCGGCCAGATGCAGCCAAGAGCGGCCAGATGCAGCCAAGAGTGGCCAGATGCAGCCAAGAGTGGCCAGATGCAGCCAAGAGTGGCCAGATGCAGCCAAGAGCGGCCAGATGCAGCCAAGAGCGGCCAGATGCAGCCAAGAGCGGCCAGATGCAGCCAAGAGTGGCCAGATGCAGCCAAGAGCGGCCAGATGCAGCCAAGAGCCGCCAGATGCAGCCAAGAGCAGCCAGATACAGCAAAGAGTGGCCAGATGCAGCTAAAAGCAACCTAAAGCCACCAGATGTAACCAAAAGTGACCAAAAGCCACCAGATGTAACCAAAAGTGACCAAAAGCCACAAGATGCAACCAAAAGCCATTCGATGTGGCAAACTGTCATCAGAGTCAAGTGTCACCAGTGGCATATCAGATACAAAGTTACTGGTAGTCAATTTGCACTGTTCCAGTACCTGATATATTATACAAGCACGATTTCACATTTACCTGTCAATTCCACTATCTTCATGATCAGTTCTTCTTTTGTCAACTCTGTAAATCTTTTATTTGCTGCTTTACTCCAATTACTTTCATTCTACATTGATCAAACAGAAAACAATACACATTTCACAAAAATTTCTTTTTACACAGAGCTTCAAATTAACATTATCATTTTTCGTCTTGATTCGTACTTACCTTAAGTGGTTGTACACCATATAATTGACAAGGTATGGCAAGAGATGGAGAGGTGGCACACATGGGTATCAATTCTCTCACCCTGTCTTGTGTTACAGTTTCTTGGTTACCAAAATCAATAAACTGTACATGGATTTCATCCATAGTCTATAATAATTATAATAATAATATTAATAATTGTTTATTGCATCTTTAGAAATATACATTTCTTTCAGTATATAGCTATAGAAATATTAATCAATACAGAAAAATACAAGTCATTGAAAATGACACAGTCCCCGTTAAATTTGTGAAAGTTCTCTTTGTGCTTGTCATATTAAAAAGTGGGGCGGGGGGGG